AACTTTCAAGTAACTTTATCCGTCTAGGTCTTTCCCTTAAAGATTACCTTCTAATCGATACATGGTCCAGGTTGCGAAACACAAGTAGAGGCTTCTCGTACAAACTTAAAATCTAAAATTAAAAAATAATAATAATAAAAAGGCACCAGTAGATTATAAATTATAATAAAATTACATTTGTACCAACTATATTTCAAAAATATAGCATCAACAAGAAAGAGTAATTTAATTTACCCAAAGTAAATGATCATTGCAAGATAGTGATTAAACATTACTAATTCTATTGAACAAATTATTTGTAGCATCAAGGTCGACTAAGTGATCAAAACGAGGATGTAAAGCACTCATTTCAATGTTGTTGAGAGAATGTAGGTTTGCTAATGAATAGTTGTTTACCATGCAATCAAAGTATATGAAATAAACAAGACTTGAGGCATCAATGCCAATATGAAAAGGTTGATTTAAGGTATCATCTTCATGCTCTAAAGTCAATCTCTTTAGTGAAGGTTTAGAAATATGTAACTCTCTTAAACTCTAAACAGTATTAAACTAGCGTATTAATAACTTTTCAACCATAAGGCACCCAGACAAAAGTCTTAGAAAAGAATCATTATCGATAAAGTCTACATTGCCAAAATGGAGACTTTTCAAACTTGGAAGGCAAATGTGAGTAGGAATGGTTATAAGAATATTATAAACAAATAGTTCCAATTTCACTAATGTATTACTTTTAAATAGACTCGTAGGCAGCATCGTATTAGAATCTATAATTTGTATCCATAAAGAAAGTTCTTGAACACTTCACCATACTGCAAAAGATATCCACCCTAAAAGTTGATAAGCATCCACATCTTCATAGAATCTCTGAAAATAGAGATGAAATCTCTCAATACATTTCACATTATGGAACAACAACACTCTATCCACAAAGTTTATGAATAAATATGAAGTGTGTTATTCATCACAAAAATCAATAGTAGAAATTGAGGTAGAAGAAACCTCCACTTACATGATAAAATGAAGGTATGAACTGCATCTTTTGTGGGAAGCAAGGACAGACTATCAGATAGAATTGAATCTGGTAAAGCATTGAGTCTATCCGTGTTGCTATCAATGCTACTATTGCCTTCAGGACACTGAGCGGTGATTTTGGTGCATATGGGGTAGGTGGTCATACAAGAGAAAAGAAAGTACCTTTTCAAGTTGATGCCAAAATAGATCTCCAAAATATTCTTGAACGCAAAAAGATAAAGGAAACCGTAAGAGCTTAGAACTTTACAAATGTGTAGAATAACTGTTACATGTATTTTAATTCATACATTATGAACGATAAGAGTCTCCAAATTAATTGAACATTCAAGCAACTCAATCAGTCTAATGTTATGCCATCAATTCTTTCTTTTAATATCTATATAGACCAGGTTGTGAAACACAAGCACATACTTCTTGCATAAACTTAGAGCCTAAAAATACGATAATAATAATAACAACAAAGCAATGTTAGATTACAAATTACAACAAAATTGCAAATTCAAGATATTACATTACTTAAAAACACAAATTTATCAGGCAAGAATTTACAAGCATCCTTTTTAGGTCTATTTTGAAATGATCAATTACAAGATATTTGTACCAACTATATTTCAAAATGTAGCATCAACAAGAAAAAGTCAATAAACTTACCCGCAGTAAACAATCATTTAAATGTAGTGATCAAACATTAGTAATTCCATTAAATAAATTACTCGCAACATTAACGTTGACCACATCTAGAAATTCATACCCTAGATCACTCATATCAACCTTGACAATCTAATGTAGGTTTACTAATGAATAATTGTTTAATAGAATACCAGCATATTTGAAGTAGACAAGACTTGGGGCATCAATGGCAACATGGAAAGGTTGATATGAGATATTACCATGATTATGTAAATTCAATCTCTTCAAAAAAGGTTTACAAATATTTAACTCTATTAGACTTTTATATTGACCATAAGAGAGCATCAATAACTCTTCAAGCATAAAGTAACTAGACAAAAGCCTTCGAACTTAATCATCATCGACAAAGTCTACATTGCCAAGATAGAAAGTCTTCAGACTTAGTATGCAGACGTGAGTAGGAATGGTCATAACAATAGTATTATAAATATGTAGTTCCAATTTCACGAGTGTCTTATTTATAAAGAGACTCAAAGGAAGCATACCACTAAAATCATCTCTAATAAACATCAATAAATAAAGTTCTTGAACATTTTGTTGTAAGAAAACAGATATCCACCTAAAAAATTGATAAGCATCAAGATCTTCATATTATCTTTGAAAATTGATATGAAATCTCTTAATACATTCCACATTATGGAACAACACTTTATCCACAAATTTTATGAACCCATTTGAAGGGTGTGCTTCATCAGAAAAATCAAGAATAGAAATTGAGGAAGAAAGAAACCTCCACATACTTGATAAACCGCAAGTGCAGACTGCATCTTTTGTGAGAAGCATGGATAGGATGTTAAATAGATTTGAATTCGGCAAACCATTGAGTTTGTCAATGTTGTTGTTGCCTTCAAGACCTTGAGTGGTGGTTTTGATTCGCTTGGGGCTGATATCCATTTTGGGACTTTGATTTTTAGGTGTTTTAGATGAAACTCAAATAATAAAAATGATCATAGAGGTTTAAAATAGTTTTTAATTATATCAATTCAAACCCTCAACCCAAATAAACCCAAGAATTTGAATTTTTTAAACCTAAGGTTTCATAGGGGATTTTTCTTCAATTTTTAAATGAAACAAGTTCTTTGGATAGGGAAAATTGCATTTTAATTTATGTTAGACGACTTCTGCACTTGCATGCCTACATTCATCATAGTTTGATTTGATTTTTGTTTTCAATATAGCTATATGATTGGTCACTTGTTAATATAGCTACTTTTGAAATGGGCTTACGAGGTTGACCATTTTTCACAATTTCCTCTTAATGTAGCTATATGTTGAAAAAAAAATATTATTGCTATACACCACGTCCACATTACTAAATGTTGCTACTATACACCATGCCCACAAATGTAGTTTTTACACGTCATACTAAGTTATTGACACTATTATTACATACCATGCATAAATATACATTGTTAACATACCATGCTTACAAATTGAGTTGTTACGTGCAATGGCTACATCACCAAATGTTGCTACACACCATGACAACAAATAAAGTTGTTACATTCTATGTGTAACAACTAACAGTTATGTCTGCATGTACATGAGGTTGATTGAAAGCATCATACCAAGAAGCACTTGCATTCATTCTCGGATAAATAGCTGTGTAATTTAGTATGTAAGTGAAGTCATTTGCAAGTCATTTTAAAAGTACAACAAAGTTATATGAATTCTAAAACTCTCATATTTTAGTGAATTCTAGTTCTCTCGTATCATTTCTGACATAAACCTTAAACGATATTCTCACTTAGCCAATTCTATAAAGGTAAAACTAATAATAGGAGACATGAAGATAAATTATTGGACATGTGTCCATTGTTGCTATGTTGTATTGGTCACTGTGTTAATGGCAATCTTAAAGGCCCACTTATCCCACGGAACAACAATTTAAATTTCAAGGTTCTCGTACTATCTGAAATCTATCTGCAATAGAAAATAGTAATGCATATATAAGCTACACACATGAACAGTTAACCAAGAAAAGCTACATGCCATTTACAAAAAAAATAAATGTTGTTACATGCCAAGTCTATAAATTCTTAGTTGCTACACGTAATGCCTAATGATTAAGTTGTTACACGTTATATATATAATTCCTAAAATGATACACGTAAAGCCTAAAATTCATTAATTGCTATATGTCTTATTCATGAACTTAGGGAAATTCCTTGAGTTGTTACTCACACCATGCCCATTTTCTCTCAATATTTTACACGCCATGTTAACAACATTTGACCCAAATGGGCATGGCGTGTAACATTTATGGGGATTTCAATAACTTCAAACAACACCATTCAATAACATAATCAACAAATATGGCTACCATCACAACAAAAACCACTCCAAAACACATAATATTTTGAACAATTTTGAATTAAAAGCAAGCATTGTAACCCCATTGACACAAAAATAGCATTCAAAAATCAAAACTCATGAAAAAACAAAATAAAAAATTCAAGATTCACTGACTAAATCCCTCTTTACATAGTTATGAACTTGTTTGCTGTGAGTGATTACTTTGCTCGAAATTTGTTCAAACACTTTGTTAGCTTTGAGAATGAGGAATGAATCAAATGATCGTTTAATATACCTGACGTATAATATACCTAGCATTTAAGGTTTAGAAAATAAAAAGGGAGAGAAAAATCCTCTTATGTAATATGATGAGGTTTTTTTCAAAATGTCATGTAGCAAATTATGGGAGGGTTATTTGCAAAAACAGGCACGTGAATGAAGAGTGCATGTGAATAAGGAGTGATTTTGTCTCTAAATCTTTTTTTCTGACTAAAAAAAATTAAAATCATGGAGATTATTATTTTAAAAAATTTATTCTCTCTTTCCCACTTTCTCTCCTAGAATCTCCATAAGTTGGGCCAAGTTTACCTGCTTTCCCCAAATAATTTTAAGCTGCTACATGTTGAAAAAGAAAGAACGGCATAAAGGTTGCGGCATGCGCGTAGAATTTGCCACAAAGAATCTTCGGATGTCAAAAGAGTTGAACGCATACATGGATATACTTTTCCCCATCACCCCACATAAAGGCAAATGAAACAGCAGCACTGCCCCATGAGTTCGTAATCAACAATGCCTACAAGTTGTTACCTAAAGGTTATTCAGGCTAATCTTGTTTCAAATGTCAAAAGAATTTTAATTCTCGTACTGTACCCATTTATGCTAGTGTATGACAACAGCATGAAAATTCAGAATCTGCAACAATGATGAATCACCATGTTGTGGAAATCAATCAACATAGACCTTTTAATCCTAATATTCCCTGCTCATGGTAGTATTCTAATACAGTTGTCATACTCAAGGTCCATCCCGTATACAGTTTCTGAGTCCAACAGCAGATCATCAGAACTCTGATATGTGAGGGGAGATTCACTCATTGGGGGTCCAAGAGAAGCGCAGCACCCTGGGCAGACAAACAATGGCGGCACAGCCTCGGAATCCTCTATACCACAGCAGCGAGTGTGCTGCCACACCTCACAAATGTCACATGATACCATCCTTTCCCCGTCATCATCCTGAGCCCCGCATTCACATCTCACTATCCAATTATCGGCACCACCTTCATGCCTAAGATTACTGTCTAAATCTATTCCACTCCCACTGATCAGAATTTCTGCACCTGACTCAAGTGCTCCAAACAGCACATCTCTATCGTCCATTTCGCTCAGGTCCTCAATATCTGTCACCACAAGTTTATCCATAATACAATAAGTATCCCTCAGCGCCTTCTCAACTGCTTGTTTTAGGTCTAAGACCGTGGCATGGAGTGGAACCGTGACAAGTTCACCAGCTGGTGATTTCTCAGTCAATGTATTCTCTGCACCAAACAAATTGGGCATGACTTGGCAAAAGAATCTCAACAACTGGTCATCTTCATCCCTAAATGGCAATTCCTTCACAAAATGTTTGCTATCTAGAACTGCCTGAGTTGTGAGTTCCAGAAATTCTGATTCTGGATAGTCCAACAGTACATTATTATACAAATACATCACATCGTCATAAACATCAGTTCCAGGGACTAGAGCAGGCAACGCATCTGGTTGAGGTTTTTGATGTATTTCCAGTTCTGCTTCTGGTGCCTTAAACCCATTGTCTATATCGTCAATCGTGTATTCTAATATCCGAGATGTGTTAATTGCACGGCGGACAATGTGACATCCAACAATTACATTGTTCATTGATTTCAAAACATAATCGAGCAAACCTGTATCACCAATATGCATCCGAGCTGCATCTCTTAGATCTTGCCTTGTCATCCCACCATGACAGAACTCAGATTTATGTTCCTTCAAAGCACCTACAATGACCTCTGCTGCGTATTCTAGCCTTTTCGCAGGCCATCTGCTATCCATATGAGCTATGACACTAGTAAATCTTTTGCACCTCGAGGATTTTTCCTTCGAGGTGGCCTTCTTGGGGAGGGAGATTCTGATGAAGTTTCTCTGTGAAGGAGCTGAAGGAGCAGTTATAGCTGTAACAGATTTCTTCTGCACAGCACTACGGGATTTAATAGTAAGCATAAACTTGAAAAGATCCCTTATTGTAACCAACTGGCTCTCACTTAGTACTCTATAATGCTGAATTATGCACTTGATTTGTCTGCAATGCTCTCTGTCACTGAAATCTTGAATGATATTGTCAAGTTCTGAGGAGCTGAGAATTTCAATTGCTCTACCATAATTTTTCTCTGAAACGCCATAGCTTCCCCGGCAAAACTTGTAACCCCATCGACCAAACCATGTATGTCCATAGGCAACCCCATGGAGCAAACGAAGATCCATACCATGCTTCTTTGACACATCCTCCACTGAGATTTTCCTGAAAAATGAAAGAACGGTCAAGAATTAACATTTTACTAAACGTTTACAGGCTAACTTGAATTAATGAGTTAGGGAGTTTTACCGTGCTCTGAGAATTTCACAAATACGATCCCAAAGATCCATGATTTCCCTGCCACAGAGATACTTAGAACCACCTTCGATTCCATTGATGCACAGCAGATGACCAAATCCATTACAGTGCATCAACCCATGCAAGAGATGGGAATGGATGTTTAATACACCATCCTCTAGAGGCTTATTCCAGTCTCGATCATTTGGTATTACTACATGATACTTCCTTTTTGAAACAAAATGGTTGCTCCAACCTATAAGAACAAAACAGCATGAAAAAAAATCAGTTTTATTACTAGGAGGATTAATAATTGGGCAGACAAAAAATTAACATATGCAGGAAGACTGCAACTGATTGAATCAGTAATATTTAGCATCCAAAACTTCTGCTGCAACAACTTCAGCTTGAAGCAAAGCTTGCACTTTGAGCAGTTCCGGGCTATTTACTGTCAAGCAGAGTCTTTTGGTTGGAGGAAAATCCTAAGAGGCTTAGAGATATTGCCAGAACTCTTATTTAGCATTCCACCGGAGATGGTAAGGATACTTTCTTATGGCATGACAATTGGCGTCCACATGGTCCCTTGGATTTATAATATTCTAAAGTTGCAGGAGCAGTACAAAATGGAGATTGGCATTGGCCTCAAACAAGATAAAATGATTTAGTCGAAATCAAAGATAAAATTTATAACATTATTGATACACTACCTATGCCAGAGGAAATATTCAGAAATTTGGCTGCCATCAAATTTTTGGAAATACAAAAAATGCAGACAATAGGAAGTAGGAACTTCCTGAGGAAGAACTCCAAAGCAGGTGTAGGTTGATTGGCATAAGTTGGCGTGGATTCAATTCTATATTCTCAGACATGCCCTTGTAGCCTGCATGTCAATTTTATATAGACTAACTACATTCAATAATGAGAAAACTGAGGGATTTCATGTAACTAGCACTTGTTTGGCTCTCCAATAATTCTGAGGAAACAAGAGATTATGTTTTCTTCCATTGCTCTTATGCAAAGCAAGTGTAGAATTTCCGGCAAAGAAGGCAGTTGATGGTTTGGATTCTGAAAGTTTTCTGAACGATGGAAGTTTTGCTTCTATGGAAGGAAAGAAATTACAAGACACATGAGAAAACTCCTCAAATTATTGATGCTAAATTGTCATACTCATAAGTCTAAGAAGTTATCATTAGCAGTATGCAAAAAATATTACCAGCAAGCCCCTATACGGGGTAATGCTCCTCTGACAGCAATGAGAACAGAAATCATCTTAGCAAAGCTAGTCTTCGTTTTTTTTTTGGTAATTAATTAGTTTCTTTTATATAGAAGCTCTATTCTTGGTAAACAGTTCTTTTTTACTGCAAAATTCCAGCTTTCTTGGAATAAACGAAATTGCAACTATCCAAAAGAAAGATAGACAGGAAAGAAAGTCCGGGGAAACCCCAACTACCAGAATCCCATGACAGACACAAGAAAAGCCCCACTTGGGAAAAGAAAACTTGAAAAAGAAAAAACAAATGAGAGAGGCAAACCTGTACATCTGCAGTGATCACAAAAAGGGTTTGAAGAGAGCTTAACGTCCTCTTTAATGGTGTAAAGAGGGACAACACAGCTCTTATTCTCGTGAACCAGAAGGGTACACCAAATGGGCATTCCGTTGACGCAGTAATCTTCAGGCTCAGCACATTGTTTAAGGAAAAAGCGAATGTTATCTCGGAATGGACCGGTGGGGTTTATGGGGCAACCAGGTTCAGCAAATGAGTGCAATCCGAATAGCTTTGGCCTCCTCTTTCTTTTCCTGCAGGTTTCTATGATTGGGATGGACATTGTTGAAGCAAAGGCTTTGGGGTTTTCTGTTTCGTCTTCTGACTGAGATTTTGATTATAAGAAGCAGGGAGAAAACAGAGAGTTTTCCAGTTCTTGGGGGGTTTTTGCTAGTAACTGACCGAAGTTTACAGTTAGGTCGTTAAGACGGGGCTTTTCCGCGCTCAAATTTTGAGTTGAGTTCGATTTTAGCTTGAGAATGGAGGATTGGGACAGGGAAGCAAATTTATTTGGATATTTTAGGCCCATTTGGCCTGCGAGTTGGACTAGAATTCAAGCTCATTCCAAGTACCCAAACCCCACCTTTTCTTCTTTTTAATTTTTTTTTTCCAATGAAAAGGAGTGTCATTTATTTTATTAAAATACCGAAAATTAGGATCATTTAATAATAATAATAATTAAAAGAGTGTTAAAAATAAAGGTTGTCTTATTTGTACATATCATTATTTTTGTCTCTCTTTCTTTTTCCGATTATCGACAATTTAACCAAGTTTAATCTCCATTTGTCTACTAATTATCGTGATTAAGTCCATTAAAATAACGTTTCAATTGTTTATTACTCCTTATCTCTTTACCCCAAAAGAACATTACCAAAAAAAAAAAAAAGATTGTTACTCAAAAGAAAAATTTTGAAAATTAGAAGATTAATTTTCATAAAGAACCGAAAGTATTATTTTTTACAGTCAAAAGAAAATAAAATTATTTAAATAAATAAATAAGAGATCCAAAAGATATAAAAATTTAATTCACCAATTTTGCCATAGAGTTGAGCAACGTGTACAAAGCTCTGTTCTTGTGTTTTTTCCTCCCGTGAGACAGAACTCCGAATCTTTAAAATGGAAAGACCTTTTTACGCCAAAACTCCATTTCAAAACTGTCGGTTCCAGCTCTCGTAGCTCAAATTTTCGCTGCGGCCAAACAGAAAATTAGCACAGCCAGAGCTTCCGCTCTTCGGGTTAATATTTTGAATATGCCTTAATCTTCCATTTTGCGCCTTCGTAATTTCTTAAATTTAATGTTGGATACGTTTTTTTTTTTATATATTTTGTTGTTGTTTGTTGATTGATTCCTATCTTTACTTTGTGTAAACTTCTTGTTCATTACTATTTTGGAACTTTGTTGAATGTAGAGAAGGATTTCTTTGAGCAATTATTCACTATTATGTTTTCACCGCATTTGCTCATACTTTTACGGAAGAAATAAGTTTCCAAGTTTGTTATTATATATTCCCTTGATTTCAAATTGGACCATCACCAGCAGACATAAAATATGAATTGATTGTACGTTGTAATGTGTGAATATAGGAATTCTACTTGATTATGTTGGAGAAATCTATTTAAATTTAGTAATATATTTGGTTGTTTCCTTTATTTTTCTCTTACTAACTGTAGATTTTTTTAAATGTCAAAACAAGTTATTCTTGTATATTCTGGAATATTTCTTGTTTCTGTCAATTTAAACCTTCAGAACATTGGGTTTAACATTGTGCAACTGGCAGTCATAACATCCTGCTGCTAACTGACCCTTCTCTACTGTGCAGTGAGGAAATGCACAGGCCGATATATAAAACTAATATTCTACATTATGATACTAATTCCAAGTTTCTGGTATACGGAACTTTCATTATGCAAATTGTGAAAAATTTTCTGCTCATGCTTTATTCCTGACTAGGAGCAACTTGTCAATATGATTTTTCCATCCTTTTTTTTTTTTTTCTTGCCAGATACTATAGGACCATGGGCCAAATTTAATTACAGGATATATCGTTTTATGTTTTTATGCCATGACAAATTGATGAGCTGGTGAAACAATTTAGTGGCTGAAAAATAATGCATGGTTATGATTTTTTGTCAGCTAAAGTTCTACTTTACATTACATGCGAAAGATGTATTGCACTTGGTTCTATTGTTAGTTTTAATAGTATTAATTTTCTCTTTCAGTCTCTTTGAAGACAGAAAGATAAATTTCAGCCTGCATTATTAGCACTTTACTTTTCTGTTATTAAACCTTGAATATGTCGCCAACATCTAGTATAAAATGTCCACTGAGTAGCATGTTTTCTCTCAGTCTTGATGTGCAGCTCTCATTTAGTAGCCGTATTTAAATGAGCTTCATATTCTCAAGCCATTATCATGCGTCAAGATTTCTTCAATTCTGATGTTGCTTTCTGGTGATATATGTTCACTTAGCATTCATATTTTAATCTCTTTGTTTCTCCTCTGTTAGTTTTTTATTAATTTTATACATGTTCTATTCTGTATGAAAAAATGTTGGTTCTCAACAGTAGTTTTTTAGTTTTAGGTCTGGCTCATCTTGATATAAATACAGAGAGAAAGTATAAGTTAGACGAGGGAATGGGTGATTTAAATTTCAAATCATTTCTTCTGGTTACATGTGATACAGTGATGCTTTTAGTATTTCTAATTTAATTTTTTTTCTATCTTCTTTATTGTTTTATTAATATTCTTTTTCTTAGACCTTGATATAAACACTGAAGTGCCCAACTTAATATTTTTATGTTCTCTTTCTTTCAGAATCACCCTATGAACCATAGACCCATTCCATATTAGGCTGCTGAATGTGGATAAACAACTTACATCTCCCACGTCAGCAGATTGTGCTTATGTACCCAGGAAATGTCAATTATGATTATCTGGCTGGACAAAGGGGAAGATGAGGAGGAAGAGGAAGATGACATGGACAAAGATGCTAATGAGTTTTGATCAAATCAGTTATCTACCAAAATAGTTTTGCTTGGTATGCCAATGACCTTTGACTACCTCACCAACATAGCTTGAATTATATGCATTTTCTTGTTAAATTTTTATGAAAAATTTCCTTCTGTGACAGCTATCTGGTAGTTCAGTGTTGATATACCATCCATTGCTTTTGCTCTGTTTTTTCTTGGTCATTTAACACACACACACTGATAAATATGTATGCATAAGTACACACGAGTCATCGGGATTATATTTGTCAAATACTGCTGTGCATGCTTTAAATGTTGAAAGCCCCTGAATCAGTCCCCTTCATGCTCTTGTTCCACCCATTAGCCCATCGCTGATAAGAAAACAGGGGATACCTGATTGACTAGTGTATCAAAATCACCCATCTGAACCATTACTGGTCTGTGCAATCCATTGTCATTCATATTCAATCAAAGATTTAAAACCATACCCTAGAGCTAAGATCAGGCATTAAAATGCAAGCCCTAATAGTGACTTAGCACTGTAATAAACTCATATGACTGAAAGAAGGCATGCAATTTTGCAGTTTTTCCCCCCTTTTAAAGTTTAATTTTCATGGTGCTGGCTTTGGGATTTCATTCTTCCAGTATTGCCCCTGAGAATGAACGCTTATGTTAGGATAATTTGTTAAAGTAAAAAGTTAGTTGATCTAGTAGTTTAAGAGTGGTGTGGGAAGTTTTGCTTTTATTCATTTATTTTGGAATAAATAAAGATTTTGAAAGAGAATAGTATTTTTGGGGTGGAGTGTGCATAATTTTTTTGAAAAACTATTATCATAGTTAACTTTCCTGCCCTAGCTGTATAAACTGGCACTGTTTTTAAAAGCTTTGATAGCCGAAGATCATCTTTCCATCTTTCAAGTAGAAAGAACAATATGTAGAGTAGAGTTAAGACCCAGGAATATGTGGTCAAAACAAAGTTACGAATACTGCTTGATTTTTCTAACAGTCCGAACTCCGTGTAAAAGTTTTGTTTCACCTGAAATATCTTGATTATTCTCTGGCTAATCAGCTAACAAACTAGATGGAATCTTGAACAACATGCTGTGATGGTAGCACATATGATATTGCTGAAGTCAAAATCAACTTAGTGGTTATTAAAGAAGCTATGTATTAGTACTAAAGAACAGGCTGGTTATGGCAGCCGTGTGTACTTGGTAATTTGTCATCATTCAACTTTTTGCAGATATAATAGTTCTTTCAAATCCTTAGTTTTAATGCTACTCTTTCTTCCTTCTTTCTTTTTCCTGCCCCTTCTTCTGTATGGAATTTTATTAGTGTTCTCTTTGCAGTTGTGTTTTTGTCTTTGATTAGTTGTGGAAGTCAGAAATGGACATATCTTTTCTGTATTTCAACAGAATAAAGGCTTGGCACAGCCATAAATTTGGCTTGGGTGAGAAGGAAAATCAACAGGGCTTCAGAGATTGTGATAGGGGTACAAAGTATGGAATGATGCCAGAATGGCGTTAATCTTTGCTGCTCATTGGTTTATCAAACCAATTCTACACAAAATCGATAAGCATGGGATTAAAATGACTATCTTCTACCTGCATGCTACATGAGAAACTCAACAATATTAACACCCATAATCCCTGATGTTCCTGGAAGCTTGCTCCATAATTCACAACTTTGACACTTGGTTGATTCCTTCAATTTCCTTATCCCTCTTATCCTTATCCCTCTTAAACTTTGATCAAGTTGACCTATCTGTTCTTAAAGTATTCATTTCGGTGCTTGCAATTAAGTTATGATGCCTTGTCATCGCACACATCCTTTTTTTTTGTTTTGAAGAATTGGGATCCACATTGTTTGGATCATTCTTAAAAGTGGAAGTGGCAAGGATATACTAAACCTTGTCATTTCCTTTTGATTTTTTCAGGTATAGGCTTGGAAAACCACAAAGTAAATGCAGTGGTACATAGCAATTGTAAGAAGGCTTGCAATATTCATCATTACATTTGGTGAAAGAACATAGCTCAGTGTCACAGTTTCTAATGGGATATAATCAGGAGAGTTGTTGAATTTGATGAGGATCATTACTTCATTCTGCTTAAATTTCTCCTAAGCCAGTGACTATTGAAATTTTTATGGAGGTTCAAGGACAGATAATAGTGCTATAACTTGCAGATTGTCCTGACAATACTATCAAGAACTTTTCTTTGTAATTATTGTGCAAGAGACAATGGAGGACAAGCACCATTTTCAATGATTATAGGAGAAAACTGTGGTACGAAAATATTGTGTGAATTTGAGTTCAAGAGCAGCAATGCTGCCTGTGGTACCAAAAAGAAAGCAATGCCTGACTAAAGAAATGAAGCCAATAAACAGAATCTGGGAAAAAGTTTTATCAAATTAAATGTCTCAAGATTCAACACGGGCAACTAAATTGAAGTGAGAGAGGATGATGACAAGTTGAGGATGACCAACAGGAAAAGAAGAAAAGGATTCTGAAGAGGTTGAAAAGGAGAAAATGCAAGGATATTTAAGGAAAAAAAATGAAATGAGAAAATTCCTCATTTAGCTGTAGAATCAACAAAATGGTTACATCAGATGGGGCAAGGGGTAGAGAATTAGTTTATAAAACGTCTCGGGGCAGCTTTTTACGGATTTTGAGGATCCGGTTTGTGTGGGTGGTTTTGCTGATCAAAATAGTGGACTGGAATAGGTTTTGATGAGAATATGCATGAACTTTGAGATGCGAGAAAATGTTCTGAATGGACTGATGCTGTGAGGTTTTTCAGGCTGTTTTAGGCATCACTTCGTGTGGAAGCGAGGATTCTTTTATTGAAAGATGCCTGGTGTTTTGTGCATGATGTTGAAGACATTGTGGTTGCTGAAATCTGATTATATGTGGGAATATCACCTCGGACAGCTAATTCTCTCAAGGATAAGATCAACAGGGAAAGAGCAGGTGAGAGAAAACCTAAAGGATTATTGTAAAAGCTTGCAGAGATTACAGACTGTGAAGCAGAGATACTATAATGAATACAGGTATGATACAATATGAATATTAATTATCAAATGATGTTCTAATTTTATTTATTATCTATGTTCTATTTGGTTCTGGCCAGGTCAAGCATAATACTGAGTCCTGTCTGACTTTAATAAAATTAAATGCAACTCAAAAGCAGCATGATAATTAGCACAACTCTGTCAAAATCCCAACATCTGGAACCATGTCTAAATCCCAACATGCCATGAAGACTAAACCGATATGTAGGTAATATATTGTCGCATAAAAATGTAGGTAATACACTTATAAATTTGTAGGTACATGTATAATTTTTTTTTTCTGAAAAGCACATATATACATATGTGCATCCACGTATATTTTTTCCTATATTGGTTTTAACTCAGTTTGCTCGCAAATATAGCAAACTCTTGTGAGGGCAGTGTGCTGCATGTATTTTCTATATATCGAAGACATTTTAGGCAATATCTGGTGGCAACTGCTTTGAGAAGGACACTTCATCATCTAACTTGTTGCATGAAGACCATTATTAAGGCTGATTCCCTGTTTTGCAGGCATTACATTACTCAATGGGTGTGGATGCAGCACCAAACTGCTGATGTTTGAAGTAGTCATTATGCACCACACCAACAGAAAGATATCCAATGCAATTGGTGCAGAAAGCAAAGCTGATCAAGTTTATCATTCAATTCTCAACTGTCTGAAGGGTTTCAAGTTTGATGCAATAAGCAGATTCTCATGATGTTTTCTATTCACATCAACATGATGGAGCCATTTTCTTTGACTTTTATGTTAGAAAGTATAATTACCATGTTCTTTTGTGGTCTCCCACAATTTAAAGTGAATGAGTATGGATGATGGGGGAATCTGTACTATTTTGGTTTCTCCAATTATTTCTGAATGGTAGACAATTAAGAATGATCCTAATAACTTTCAACATTGACAGAAGCAAACCGATGTAAGCATTAGTTTCATTCAGGGTCAATTACAGGCAAGCATATGTGCTGATACTAGGGAAGGCCATTGAGAAATAATAGTCAATTTTATGCAGAAATTCAAAACAATACACCCAACTATGCCAGGTCATTTAAGAACAGAACAACCTAGAAAACAAGTAGCCATGGCAGCCCTGAAGGGTATCAAGTAAAGGGGCTGTTTGGCACGCATCCTCAAGTGGACGGTCCATCCATTTTTTGGACATAGCTTCAGCAACAGAAGCAATCTGATGCTGCAACACAGAAGCACCCAAAGGTCCGACTAAATTCAACCTTGTTGCTGCTGAAATAACATCTCGCATAGTCACATACATGTAAGCTCTTTGACTGGTTCCACTGTCCATCCCTACAAGTCCACAAATAAGCCCAAACACAGGAGCATGGTGGAAAGAAACAACCCCAGAACCAGCAGAAACATCTCTCATCGATTTAAGTGATGGAACTTCAGTGAAGGCAGCAGCGGCCACTCTCATGAGGGAGGATCCTTGTGAAACTGACGCCTTTCGACCAACTTCATTTGTTAAAGTTGCATCTAAGATTCCGTTAAGATTCTGCCAGTTATCTAAAGTTGGATTCAGAGTTGTGGAGTAAACAAAGGGGAGGAGTAAACTCCCAGTGTTGTCTAACAATTGAATAATGTAAGTTTTGAGATCATCAGGGCCTGAGACCAAACGTGCCTGAATTGCTGCCTCAAGACCAAAAGAATGAGCAAACCCACCTGTTGGGAGAATAGAATCCAGGAGCTGCCATTGGCTCCACTGTAGAGTAGAGTCTATAGGAACATTTCTCTTTCTTTTTTTGTCCGTTTCAACCAAATCTGGCTCCATAGCAAATCAATCTTGATTCCTCTCTCTTTCTGGACTTGTGGGAATCTTTATTCTGCAGAAAAGAGAGGATGAGTTGAGGGGCATGCTTGGTCACTCATTTGGTAATTTATTTATTTTCTCTGCAATGTTCCCTTGACCCAAGTGATTAAGCACGTTAAAAAAAAAAGAAAGGGCCATCGATGCCTTTGAATTTGATGCGGAAAAGCCACTGCCCTTTATTCGTTGAACATGTCGACAACACAATCGTGGCAGTCTCCTTCCTGCACTGGGGGATGGTCCAGCTAAGCAAAGACTATTTTTTAATGGGCTAAAATGTGTGTTCCAAATCGAGCCCAACAAGAACCCCACAGGGGCCCACCAAGAAGAAAGGCCCACTGAAAGGTCAGACTCAGCCCACTGACAGCTCTGATAACTTCAAAGCAATCCAAAAATATATTTAAAAAGCCTTTTCATATGATAAGCGCCACTACATCGACAGTTAAAATACTGCTTTGCTCCCGGGAAAAAGCAGTTTCCACGTATTAGTTTAATACTGTGAAGAACTGGAAAGGCAAGAGAAGCTCGTGGCCCTTAGAAACTTGGCCACCCTCTTTCACACGCACTTTTTTTTTCTTTGCCATCTTCCCTCTTTTTCTCTTCTCTTTACAGTTAATTTCCCAAGCTTTTGCAGCTCTGTCCTCCAAGTGGCTGGGGTTCCCTACTCTCCATTGAGACAAAGATCAACAAAAATGGTGAAGGAAACTGAGTATTATGATGTTCTTGGTGTTAGTCCATCAGCTTCCGAGGAGGAGATTCGGAAAGCTTATTATCTGAAGGTTTGGAATTTTTGGATACTTTGTTTTTGGTTTGTTGGTTTATGTTTTCAATGGTTTTAAGGTTGTTATTTAGTAGATAGTTATAGTTTTAACGAGGATATTCTCATGATCTTAATCATTATGTTATTCCATAATTTATGTTCTATAGTATTTCTCACTAGAACAAGCATTAGCGTCTTTAGGATGATCAGATACAAGAATCAAGGAATAAATTGCTTTCTAATGTATTCATTGAATCTTGATCCTTGATGATCATATGCATTCTCTTCTCTCTTTTTCTCCTTTCTTCCTTTTTCATTTTCCTTTTTTAAAAATATATTTTGAAGCTAGATCGTGATGGGCCAGTAGAATAAGTTGCTTGTTAGTCTATGGGTCTATGTGGGAGACGAAGAGAGGTAGTTAATGGAGGATTCAATATTGAAGGTCATTGAAATTCTGATTGTTAGATGTTGATAGGACCTGATAGGTTTTAAGGGTGCAGCTGCTCTTTCATGTCCTTTTAATTTCTTTGTCCTCCCCAAACTCGGAATTGACATTACTATTTAGTAGCCAAGAAGAGAATATTAAAGCAAGATGCTATTATTGGTACAGGCAAGGCAAGTTCATCCGGACAAAAATCCAAATGATCCTCGCGCTGCTGAGAGATTTCAGGTAAGTTTGCTTATTTTAATTTCTTTTCCACAAAAGTAGTTTTACACTATACATCAACTTGACGAGAGGGTAGGTTAATGCATTGATAATCTTCATTTCTCAAGGTATTAGGTGAAGCTTATCAGGCTCTGAGTGATCCCGTCCAAAGAGACGCATATGATCGAAATGGGAAATCCAGCATATCTAGGTATGCAATCACATTTGCTGTTGATCATGCATGTTTTTAGGCTTTGTTACCTTCTGTTTTGATTGTGTGACAGTTAGGATCATCTGAAAATTAACAATAAGTTTTCAGTTTCTGATTCTTAACGACAAAGCCGTCATGCCAACTGGCTCAGTATGCAACCTGGAATTTGCACAGTTGCTCACTATGTGCAGTTAGAAATTCGTTACTTTTACTTAAGTCCAGGCATACAGTAGGGTAGAAGATTTTCAGCCCATGGCTATTTTGCATGCACTTGAAGAAACTGAATGCTACCCTATCTTAAAATTTTATTTGTTCACTTATTTGAGCTTTTTTAGGAAGGTATATTCATTCTTCACATGAATATGTTAGCAAGTAAGAGCAGTCATGACCAGCTTCTTACATCATTTTGTCTGATGGTAACTTTACTTTTAGTTGACAGCTGTGATGACAGTCGTGATAAGAGATTGGTTACAAAATTATATTAGAGCAGTGCTAGAAGTAAAAATTAGTTCAACTTGATATAAATTTTTTTTTTTTTGGTTGCAGAAATCACTGAAAAGATAATCAAAATGGAACACTCTGCAATGTTATAAACCAAAATTTCTTTTCTCAGAAGGCCTGCGTTCTATCTTGATGGCTGACTAATAGTAACAGTCAACAGATTGAGTTCTGGACACCAAAAATTATGCTTACTCTATGACTAAGTTTACTATATTTAGATTTACTTTCAATGGTTGCATAATCATATTTAGAATTTCATTTTTGTTGTCTTTAACTTTATCTAATCCTCGGTTCTTAATAGCAAGAAGTTAGCCTTGTGACTATTTTAACTTGAGCATCGAACTAACTTCTATTCTTTCTGAAGGATGTTCAAGCCTCCTAATAATTTAAGCCTTTTGATTGTCAGGGAAACCATGCTTGACCCAACAGCAGTCTTCGCTCTTCTCTTTGGAAGTGAATTATTTGAGGACTACATAGGACATCTTGCTGTTGCATCAATGGCTTCTTCGGAACTAGCCAGTGAAACAGACAATTCTGAAAAACTGCATGATAAGTTGAAGGCAAGTACGCTTCCAAGTTAATTAATTCCTGAACTTTGGTTCGGGCGAAATGGATGGTCAGTTCTTATCGTACATCAAATCAGATGAATGTGTGGCAGCTGGCAACATCAATGTTAATTCTTCCTTGACATGTTTATATCTTTATATTGAAAAGTTGCTTGCATAGGAGCAGTCCTAGTCTGTAATAAGAGTAGTGCTCAGCTCCTAAATAATGGACTTATTCTGTCCTTCGGAAAGGAAATGGCTTACCTGATTTTCTAACCAGGAAATGGTTAGAACTCCTTTGAGATAAGTTTTGATTTATTGAAGCAACATATTTGTAAATGATGTCCTGTTTTTGATCAAGGTCTTGCCCCAACTTCTGAAACTTTATCTCAAGAAACAGAAATGTTTACACTGATATGGTCACTTGTAGATTCTGAAACATAAATTTAACGTCACAAACAGAGACATTTTTATGATAACGGGGCTAACTGTTCCCTGTAGTACAGATGAACAGAGATTTTGTGAATCCTGCCTGACGGTTGACATGATCAAAACTGTTTCTTCTACTTAGTCTTTTGGAATAATCGGGTCTTGGTTAGTTTCTTGTAACACATTTTGTCCTATCTATAACAGCACTTTTGCGTGCAACATTTCATGCAGGCTGTTCAGAAAGAAAGAGAAGAAAAGCTAGCAAGATCACTGAAAGATTTTCTTAACCAATACGTCCGAGGTGACAAAGATGGATTCTTACAGCGTGCAGTTTCTGAAGCCAGACGGCTGTCTGACACAGGTAAAAAATTGGGTTAATTATGGCAAATTTAGGTTCCTTTATATATAATATTTGACATATACTGTTAATGGAAGCCATATGTTGTACCAAGTGTGTGTTAAAATCCTGATTTGTGTGTCTAGTATACTTGTCCACAGCAAATTTTGATGTTAGTGGAATTTACAGCAATTGGAGTTGATATATTACACACTATTGGCTACATATACGCAAGACAAGCTGCCCAAGAGCTTGGAAAGAAAGCAATTTATCTAGGTGTGCCTTTCTTGGCCGAGTGGGTTCGCCACAAGGGACATTTCTGGAAGTCACAGATTACTGCAGCAAAAGGCAAGTTTAAATCTATAAATTAACACCCACTCCAAATTTCCAACAACTATTCAAGCTCAGTGACACTGATATGTTTAGAAATGAACTCCAGGTGCTTTTCAGTTACTGCAACTTCAAGAAGATATGCGCCGGGAATTTAAAATGGATGGCAGCGGACCTGAAAATGATGTCGAATCACATATACGGTTAAACAAAGAAACTTTGGTGAGCTCATTATGGAAATTGAATGTGGTGGATATTGAAGTAACCCTTGTACATGTGTGCCAAATGGTGAGTTTCTCAAGTGATTCCTGTTTCGTAGGATAGTCATTCATATCATATAGCAGGTATCTTTTCTATCTCTAGTTCGTTTAGAGGCTAGGAATTTGAAGGCTTTTGCTGAAGTAGCCTGTCTTATTATTATAAATTATGGGTTCTCTCATATTTCTAACAATCGGTTTACAGGTGTTGCGGGACAATAATGTCAAGAAGGAGGAACTCAAAGCCAGAGCTCTGGCTCTGAAAATTCTTGGGAAGAGATTCCAGGTGCAAAATTCATTAAATTGGCTAAAGAGACCCGAGTTTGAATTTTTATCTCATACGACTCTAATTTGTAATTCCATTATTTTATTTTTATGCTTATCGAAGCTAAATGTCTAGATATTAAACATTTACCATATTGACTAATTTGGTTGAGCTCAAACTGAAGAAGAAGAAAGAGGAAAGGGAGGCAAAGCCTAGATGCTTATGGGGTGTCAATTGTCATATGCCTGTTTTCTTTCCTTTCGTTTTTTTTTTTTTTCTTTTGGTTCTCTTCCTGGCAGGAGAAATGTTTCATTTGTTTATATAACAGATTAGTAGCTTGGGACGATGGTTGGAAGCCTAACATATGTGCCAAGAATGCACAACATGAAAGTAGTCAGTCATATTCTATCATTTGGAACAAGTCAAAGGAGATTTATGCATTGGAATGTTATTTCATCAGGAACAACAAGCTCAGAATGGTGCAACATCAAGGAGGAAAAATGTGGCTGAAATAGATGATGATGATGATGATGGAAGCAGTTCCGATAGCAGCAGTGAAGAGGAGTCGCCCAGAGCACTTTCATACCGAACTCCTTTTCTCACCCAGGCATGTTCCAAACTCTTCACAAGTAATATTGTTATATAAAATGAATATGAAAGCTTATTCTATTGTTAAGTTCGACACATGCATGCTGAATTATATTTATGGATGATTATCATTGCTGTAAAATTTTAGGTAACAGTCTTTCTTAATAGGAATTTTGAAGATCCATTTAATTGATACTTTTCATATCCATTTTGATGTTTATGGGTGATCACTTATCTGGCAGGGTATTGGGAGACTCTTCAGATGCCTCTGTAACCCAGCATTTGATGTGGATGATGATGAAATTGTGTTCAAAAGCAAATGATTGGATGAATGTAAATTTGCAGACACTTTGTTGCAATACTATAAACCTTGCTGATGCCTGTCAACTTTGTTCTTCATTTCTCCCGGAAATTTATCCTCAAAAAATGAAGAAGAAGAAACTAAGAAAAAGAATACACAATGGCTCTGCCAACACCTTTCAATAGTTGGGGATTTCTTTTTTTTAGACTACACAAGGTATGTATGTATGCTTGTGTTATTATGCATGTCAGAGGCTTTGGTCTCAAAAAGATGTTGGGGAAAAAGAACTGTAGAGCCCTCGGGTTTTGTCCTCCCTTGAATATTCTACAAAGCTACGCTAAGGGTAGGAGGAATCAAGATCTAACATTCACCCAAAAGCAAAAAGCATACCTTACCACTGGGAATCAAAGTCCACAAAAAGTTGCCATCCACAACCTGTCATAAACCTAATCATGCTTACTTTGTTGCACTGCCGTCTGCCGTGCAGCTGAAGCTGAACCCAACTTGGATGATGCTATGAAACAGTGCTTCCAATTGAATTCAACTTTCTCAGCTGTCTAAATTAAAACCCACTCCTGGTGTAGAAACTCCATCCAATCATTTTCTGGGGCCCAAGTCCCACTGCTCTTGCTGATTCATGGCCCCACGCGTTAAGACCCAGAAAGAAAGAAAGAAATTGTTGGCACGGAGCTGCCAAGGTAGTCCTGACTCGATGCCCCTGCAACCGAATTCTGATGATGCCCCTTTTTACACCGATGCCAAATGGGGAGGTTACACTGTATTTCGTTCCTAGTTTCTGCAAAAATGCAATATGAATGGTTCTGAAATAATTAGTAGTACTAGTACTAAAACTAATATTCATAGTACATATTCCCTATATTGGACACAGAAGGGAAGCATCTCACTGCCTCATATCTTTAGGTTCCAAAAGATGGATCCAGCACAGAAATGGACAGTGTCAAGTTTGATGGTTAATGAATCATATCATGATTAAGGCTTAGGGAACACCAAACCAACCTAAATAGTTCACCTAGGAGCAGATGAAAATTTGTTTTATCTTCTGCAGTCTTGAACTTGGGAGGCAACTAAGTCCATGGGTTTTAACGCCCGTCCGGCATGTCATAACACCCATTAATAATACAATGTACTTATGACAATACATGCATAGAAAACGCTTGAGGGATTTTTTTTTTTATAGAAAGTACACATGCATGCATGAGTTGGAGCAAGATTCTAACAGAATTTATTGTTGTTCTCAACTCCAATGAAAGTTCAAGTTTCATCGTTAAACCACAAGCAATGAAAACAGACACCTTAACCAGCAAAGTTTGGCTTCCAAAAGCCAAATGCCGTATGATTCACAATTCAGAAGAGCAGATATTACAAGTCCAAAGTGTTCTCAGTCCATGATGTCCGACGATATAACAAATATATACTTCTCAACAAAATCCTATTTACAAGGAAATCTAGTGCCTCTAAGCCCTTAGATAAGTACATTTACTTACAATATCAACATTAACATCCCCTTCAATGAGCTGTATGGGGAATACTGTCCATCTGGCGATGTGCTTGGACAGCACAAGCACAATGCACAGATGTTAAATTCAAGCAGCCACTCATAACAAGGGAATGCCTTCCAGAGCAGGTGTGAAGAGCAGGGAATGTATCGCATAATGCCTGAACAGCTGAAGGAGTAAGTGCAGTACACTGGCTTATATTGAGACTTCTAAGACCTTCCTCATCATATCTGCCCTTCATGGATTGCCACATTGAAGGCTTGTTCTTCACTCGGCTGTGAGCCAGTGAGTACATCGCCCTGTCTGTGATGTTGCGACAATAGTAGAGGCCGAGTGACCTCAAATGGAGACACTCATTTGCCAAAGCAATCACACTATCATCTGCAATAAAATTGTAAAAGGCATCGGTCTGCATCTTCAAAACATGCCATAGTTTCCTTCCATTCTGGATTTTGAAAATAGTAAACATGCCTAGTTATTGAATCAACAAATAATGCATCTGATACTGTCATAAGGTCATGAATAATCTTTCACAACGTCCTTTCTTTCAGATGTCTGTAAAACTTAGTCAAGCGATTAGTTTCTAATTCTACAAATTTTAGAAAAATAATTGTTCCATAATTACCAAGATATCAATTTTTTTTAGGAACATATAAGTGAAGTGTTCTTGGAAGACAGAACATCAACCTGCTTCATACACTAGAAGTGATGATAAAAGTTTCTTAATAGGTAGCCCACTCTGCTAACAACTTTCACCTATTTTCCAAATCAGACCATCTTAAGAAAAAGTATAGAGAAGGCAACTTAAAGTCAATAAATTGATGGTACACATTTAAATTTGATTGCATACTGTTATAGATGGGTTATAGGCTACCGTTGGCACTAGATGCTGCCCATTCACTAGATTGCATCATTGCAGCTATCCCCTCTCAAGGCATAGAAGGCTATACACAGAAGCAAACTGAGATGTCAAGAAATATATTTTCAAAAGGGAGATGAATCTGGCTAGAGGCTGGAACTTTGAACCAAAAATAATATCTTGAATTTCAAGGTTATAGCAATAACTTACACTACCTTATGAAATACCAAAAAATCACTCAATGCGAGGAATACCTGTTATGAGGACACATCCACACAAATCGAAGCATCTGAGATCAGGGCATCCATATGCAAGACTCATCACTCCTAGATCACCAACATTCTCACACCATCCCAGATTTAAAGATTGCAACACGTTGCAGTTTTGTCCAATAGCCTGCACATATAATTTACACAAATAGATTCAAGCACTTCTTTTTTAATTAGCAAGTAAACAATAACTAGTCATAATACTGTTCATACCTGCAATGCACGGTCAGTAGCAGCTTTAACACATCCACAAAGGTTTAATATTTTCAGTTTTCGACAAAAATTAGTCAAATATTCAAGAGCTTCATCACTGAAAGATGTGCAGCCACTAATGTTAAGTTTTGTAAGGTTAGGACAACCATGGGCCAACGCATACAATGAGCGGTCACTAAGCTTGAAACTTTTGCTGAGGTCCAAGTCCTGCAGATCATGACAAAAATTTGCAATAGTCTCCACAGCATTGTCTTCAAGCTGTGGGTTCTCTTGGCGCAGTATCAGAGTTTGCAATTTGGTGAATTTAGGAGCAAGAGATAGAACCAAATTGTTCATGTTCTTTCTGCACCTGAAGCAAGATTTAATACAACCAAGTTATTAGCAAGTACAATATTGAGGAACAAAGACACAAAGAACAAGTTTATTACCAAAGATAAAGGCCAAAATCAAGGAATCAATGGATTAAAAATGAAAGCAAATGGGGCACAAGTCATTAGCTAAAAGACTTCAAATTGGAAAATAACTGACCAAGAAAAATGGAAAAGAAGTTTATTAAGATGCATCCAGTAGAGGGAAAAATGTAAAACTACTTCAATCACAACAACAAACCTGACCGCAGTTAAGCATAATATAAAGTTTTTTCTGGGCAATAAGTTAAATTTCAGATTTGCAAGATCTCTCCATCTGAAACAAGTTTTACCTATAAACATTAAGATTACATGTTTTTAATGTACCGTAATATATAAGTATCAGATGGGGCAAAAATCAAAAGCACAAAAATAGTACCATAAACATGAATATACACAAATGGATATAACAAGGGAACTGATCAACCCAAGTGGAGACATGCTTCTGCTCCAATGTATGATTTGTTTATCCTACCTACTTCGAAACAAAAATACTAGGCATAGGTATTACAAGCTCTGAGAAAGCTGCAAGCATCTTTCAAGATAACCAAACACCATACTCAACGTTCATAAAATATATGGAATGGCCAATATGTCGCTTGTAAACTTGTACCCTTAATGAAGGTTCCACCAAATCAACAGAATAGCCAAATTAAATAACCAAAGGTATGTGACTTCATACTATGAAGGTTAAGTTTGACCAGGATAGACCACTCTGGAGGTCCACTTTTACAGTGTTTCAAATTATGCAAGTTTGATAGTCAATCACAATTCCCACAAAGTGATGAGTGCATGAATCACAGGCTAACTGAACATGGAACTGTACCAGATTAACTAACCAAACTTGTGACAGAGATTGGAAACCTTAAGAGTACTTAAAAATAGAGACTGAAGCAACAGTTGGTTCATTTTGATGACTCTAGCAGTGCGGATCAATTCAGTATCTTGAGCACTTGAAAGGAGAATGGTTTAGACCCCTATCAGTTGGAGAGACTAGCAATTAAAAAAATTCACACTTCCTTAAGTTTGGACTGATGTATATGAACTGTATCTAGAATTGATATTATGGATAGAGAGCACCAATGCAGTCATCAAAGATATAGCTTCACGAAGAAGGGACTTTACAAATAGTGAAATTACAAGAAAAATCCTGTTATATTCAAAACTCTTGTTCACACAAACAAGAAAAATCTTATTCGTTATCTTAAGTCATAGCAACAAAAAGGTTTTAAGAGAAACATAATATTGTTTGCTTGTGCCGGTATTCATTAAATATATCAGAAAGAAGGGACTTCACAAATAGTAAATTACCCAGTCGTTCTAATCTTATAACTATTAGAGAGGTGATAACAATTAATCTGCACAACAAGCAAAACATACACATGAAAAATTATTGGCGAGAACAAAGAAAAGCGCAAATATTGATACTTTTATAAGAGTAAATGGTGGAGAGGACACATACCATGAGAGACAGAGCTGGGTGAGACCCAAGCAAATGGCATCCCTCCACCCACTACAAACACCAGATGCAACAATCGCAGTCCGATCATCGACTAGAGAAACAATTCTCAACAGCAGCTCCATGGGAATATCTTTCCACTCTGTGATCACCAGACCATCCATCTTAACTCCCTCACCACTATTTCCAGCAGCAACCATCATCAGCTTCTCAAAACACAAGTTCAAGTCTTCACCACCCACCTTCGCTTCAGCTAGCATTTCACCCTCTCTTTTTGCCCACCACCGCCTTTACACAAATGTATATGTATATGTTTTGGGATAGATAATATTTCTCTTGGTCCTGCAATCCAAAATAAAGAAGAAAAAAGTTAGAATGGATAAAAAAAACCAACAAAAGAAGAAGATATTGAATTTAGTGAAGAAAGCCTAGTAAAGGGACAAGTGTCTAAGAGCAACAAAACCCATGTGTCAAAACCTTAAGAAACTTGCAGACATGAAACAGGGGACCCCAAGAATCAAAACACAAGGTCCTAAAATTTTTGGACATTTTAAATACGCCAAATTAAAGTTTTACCTTCCTTTCGAGCAGAGAAACAAAAAGACACTTTTTTGGGGTTTAATTGACATCCATTTTTTTATTTAAAAAAATGGAATATCAGCTTGAAATCCAAAAAAAGAAATTGCAGAAGAAATGATCAGTAACAAGGAAACTATAACAATCCCATCTATCCGATTGTAAACTTAACATTTCTATCTAAAAATAACAACGTCATGGCTTCAAAAAACACGATTTTTATTGTAAAAGATTAAAGTTTAACCTGCTTCAATATTAGCAACTCAATTCATCCAACGAAAAAGAAAATGATAAAACAACATTAACCAACAGATAATTCCCAATAAAATAATTTTAATAGAAAAAAAGAATGAAATAAATGAAGACTAAGATTATCATCATACCTCCACAGGGGTACCCTTTTTCTTCTGCTATGGTTTGCTCCAAATTTATTTGGTGCTTGTCTCTGAAAGATGAAGAAGCAAAGACGAGTTTATTAAGACAGGGAAAAGAGAGGGAGAAACGTACGGGAAGAGACTTGGCCACGTTCAAGGTGCCACGTGTCAGAAATCGACTACCGATGTGACATAAAAAGAGTGGGACCCCTTACTGACCCATAGATTTTCTATGATTGAACATTGATCATCAGGGTTCATAACGAAAGGAATCAAGTCAAAAAGAGTTTTTTTTTTTCTTTATTTTTTTCAAGTAAACAAATTAGGAGAACTTTGATTAATGAAATTAACAAAGGAATTTTGATAAATAAAAAAAAAAAAGGCGGGGTGGAAAGTTTGAGGTTAATGTAGAAGGTTCGTTTTTTGTTTAAAACCAAAGCCGCACCGAACAGCAATCAAGAATAACAAGTGTATTGCTTTAATTTTAAGGTTCAATTCCACGTAAGTTTATTAAAATTAACAATAAAATCTTTTAAAAAAATTTAAATACTGTTAATAAAAAATATAAAAATATTATTTTTTTAATTTTAAAAATTATTATTATATAAACTTTTAAAAAAATTAAAAAAAATATTAAGAAGAAGTACTACCAAATCTGATCCGCCCCAAGAGAGGTGCTTCCTTCTCTCTCTCTCTCGGATTTAGTGCTCCTTTAATTTCTTTTATAGAAATAATATAATAATAATTTTTAAAATTATTAAAAAGTAAAATTATTTTATTAATATTATTGTATCATTAAATTAATAAAAATATTAATAATTGATTAATGATTAAACTTAAGCTCCTAACAGAATATATTTTTTAAAAAACGAAGTATCAATTTGAAAATTTAATAAATTTATCTAAAATTTAGATTAAAATTTATGAGATCTTTTCTTTATTTATACAACATTTTGAAAGTGTCTAATGAATTGAAAATTAATAAAGTTAAACCTAGGTGCATGGGTTATGGTGGGGTCCCATTAATTGGTGCAAGTCCACATGTGTGAAATTTATGGGCATGTGAATGTGAAGTATATTAATGATTAAATAAATTGTTGTTGTGATGTTTTTTGTTTTTAAAATGAGTTTCTATCGAAATTATTATGCTGGAAATGATCAAATTTGAAACCAAACAAGTGTTAGTTAGAAAAAGAAATTTATTTATGTTGTAATATGTCAATTGTATATATAAGTGTTTTTTTCTTTTAATATTATTTAAGATCCTTAAGTTAAAAAATATTCTTCAAAGTCATTTTGTCTCTTTATTTTTTTTTTCAATTTTCTAAACAAGAACTAAAAATATATGGAATTATTTTATTGGTATAATAAAATGTATTTCATTACAAAAAAAAGTAACAATCCCATTGTAATCTCACTAATATAAATTTTTTTTTAGAATTTTAGCCCTTTGTTTTTTAATTTTCTAACAATTGAGGGAGCAATAAATTTAATATAGCTGTGAAATATAACTTAAAATAATATTTATGAGATAAAAGTATTAATAAAGCAAAAAGATCTTATTTAAGAGTATATATTTACAAATAAAGTAAGAAGCCTATTTATAAGTTGATAACCTCATTTAAATAGAATTTACAAGATAAAAGATAATTACAAGAGATTTGTTTTGAATGGATTAAATCCAAATTTTATTCTAATCTAATCTACAACCAAATATATGCATAATCAAGTATAAGAGTTTAAATCAAATTATACTTTTATGTTTGGCTTATTGGCCTATTTGGCCTGTCTCGACTATATGGTCTGGTATGGTCTAAATTCTTAGGTCATGATATAACAGACATTCACACATATATTCATAACACTCTTTCTTGAATATACATTGCATTAAAAATATGTCTCGTTAAAATCTTACTAAAAAAAACTTTATAATAAAAAATTTCAGTAAAGGAAAAAAAATATATAATTCTTTTTAAGAATACACTTAAAATACTGCTTCATTAAAAAATTTACCAAAAAAGCTGATAGAAAAAACCTTGATGAAGAAAAATAATACAATGTGTATTTCAATGTCATTATTTAAGATATTTAAAATGATGCATTCTAATCTTTTATACCAACTTTTTAAATGTTGCAATCGGAAGTACTTTGGTGAATAAATCCATTAGATTGTCACTTAAACAAATTTGTTGAACACTAATATCACATTTTTCTTGGAGATCATGTATGAGTAAAGAAGATTTTTTTGTGAAATATATTTTATTTTATTGTTTTGAATGTATTCTTTCTTTAACTGGGTTATGCAAGCGATATTATCCTCATATAATATTGTTGAAATTTTTTTCTTGGTTGACAAGTCATACATATATCAAAATGTTGAGTTATAAATCTTAACCAAACATATTTATGACTTATCTCATGAATTGTTAAAATTTTTCACAATTAGAAGAAATAACAACTATAGTTTGTTTTACAGAATGCTATGAAATAGTCATGTCTCCATACATAAATAAATAACATGTTTATGATCAAGCTTTATGTGGATTAGATAAATATCTTATATCCACATAACCAATTAAATCTAACTTTGAATACATTTAAGTAATGTAAGCCCATGTCCATTGTTCCTCATAGATATCAAAATATATGTTTAATTCTATTTCAATATCTTTGAATTGAAAACGAACTATATCTTGCTGACAAATTTACAACAAATGCTATATCAACTTATGTATTGCTAGCAAGATACATTAATATTCTAATTGTACTAAGATATGGTACTTTAGGACCAAGAAGTTCATCATCCTCACGAGATTATAAATGGTCTTTTTTCACATTTAGTGACCTTACAACTATTGATGAATTCATTAGATGTGTTTTATATACAATCGTTTTAGCACTTTTTCTATATAATTTGAATGATGGATAAAAATTTTATTAGTTAATATCTTAATCTAAAGACCCAAGTAAAACTTTATTTTTCTAAGGTCTTTCATTTCAAATTTTTTCTTTAAGAAATCTACAACTTTTGATAACTTTTCAAGAGTTTCAATAATAGTCAAGTCATCAACATAAATAGTAATTATGACAAATTCACATGTAAATCTTTTTTTTTCAAAAACACAGGGGCATATAGGATCATCTTACATCCTTTTTATAACAAATATTCACTAAGGTGATTCATTAAGGCAATTATACTACATGCATCTAAATTGCTTTTAATCCGTATAAATATTTATTTAATTTGATCGAATAAATTTTTTGAAAATTATGTGCTTCGGGCAGCTTAAATTCTTTAAGGATTTTCGTATAGATATCGATATCAAGTGAGCTATATAAATAAGTTGCAGCTACATTCATTAGACGCATTTCAAACTTCTCATATATTGCTAGACTAATGAAATATAGAAATATAATTGCATCCACCTCAACAGAATATGTCACTTCATAATCGATATGAGGTATTTGGATAAAACCTTATGTGACAAACTGTGCTTTGTATCTCACAATCTTATTTTTCTCGCTTTGTTTTCATACAAATACTTATTCAAATCCCATTAGTTTTACACTATTTGTTGTATGGACTAGAAGTTCAAAAATTTCATATTTTGCAAGTGACTTCAATTCCACCTTGATTGCATCTATCCATATTAGCCAATAATTTCTATGTTTATTTTTTTCCATAGATGTAGGTTCAATATCTTCATTTTTTTTTCATAATATTGAACTTTGCATTATTTGCAAAAATATCGTCAATATTTATTTCATTATGATTCTATCTTTTCCCATCATGACATAATCTATTGGGATCTTTTCATTTTCAATGATTTTAGGTATCTGAATTTCTTATGAAATTTTATCAATTATGACAGTGATCTCTTTTGTAGTTTCTATTTCCTCTTTTTGACCATCTTGTATCTTTACTCCTTTTTTTTCTAAGGATTTTACCTTTGGAATCGATTGGTTTTTCACATTTTTAACATGCCTTGTCTTATTGGAGCATCAATTTAATAAGAGTATTTGTAGTTGATATGTGATATTTGGTTATTTTCTTTAGGTCAATAAATATGACTGATAACTGATTTGCTGTATTTTGTAAATGAATTATCTTTTAAAATTTAAATTCTCATTGATTTATGTGAAGATCAAAACTAAATAATGATAATGCATTCTAAGAATTTTTTTTCCAATTACTTATTTTCTCCCCTTAATGTTAGAAAATATGCTTTTAGATATTTTATTAATAATAATTGGCAAACTTTACTGTGAATAAATCTTTTATTAATGATTCTAGATATTTAATTATAGATAGAGATTTGTATCCAATATATATTCCTAACTTCTTTTGTGCATTGTGGGGAAGTAATTGAGATATATTCCACCCATCCAAAAAGTTTTAAATGAAAATTATTTAATTTCTGACCATAAACTAATTGTATAAGAGAGAATTTATCATAACTTGTTGGCATGATGTGTACATGTGCTGCTATATACAAAATGGCACGTCACCAAACAAAATGGGGAGTTTAGTTTTCATAAGCAATTGCTTTGCAATTAGTTGAAAATGTTCAATAAATAATTCTGCTAGAACATTTTGTGTATGAACATGAGTAATCTATTCAACAATTATTTCAACTAATATGCAATATTCATTAAAGGCTTGATATGTAAATTCACCAGCATTGTCAAAACAAATAGTCTTAATTGCATAATCAAGAATATGCGCTTGCAAACGAATGATTTAGACAAGTGATAGCCGTATAATTAATTTACCTTAATAGCAAGCAATACATAAGAATTCATCAAATTGAAAAATCTTCTAGCTTTTCAATGAATGATCACATGAATTTTTAATAATTTTTTGTATCATTATTGATCTAGGGTGGTCCAATTGATCATGCCAAATATTAAATCATTAGTAAACTTCTTGTTTACTTTAGCATGAATTTCAATCATTTTAATATTTGTGTAATACAATCCAAATGAATATTCATATTTTCCCCCAATAAAATAAAATGCATATAAAGCAATAAATTTGCAAGTTAATATCAAATAACATTAGATATATAATTTACTATTAAAACATAAAATAAAAACATGTCATTTAAATATAATGAG